AAGTTTGAGCACCACTGAACTAGGGTTTTGATTTGTACAACAGAAAATAATTGAAATCTGGTGACCATAAGACTGATGTTAGACAATCTAATGTAAATTTGCAATTTCTAGTTACTAGATCTAAGTTCACAGATCCAGCAACCATTGACTGAAGGGAAAGCTGGGTTTCGCAGTGCCACCGCAAGCCTGGCAAATTTGCCAGAGTAATTGTGCACTCAAGGAAAAGAAATACTCAGCCCTCCTGAGGATGGTCATAATGAAGTCACAGCTGACACTTGTGTCAGGGAACCCAAAACACTACCATGGTTCTCCAGCTGAAACTGGAGCTTTATAGATGCCAGACTGTGAATGATGGTTGGGCTCAAGCCCATCTCACAATGGATCCAATAAATTCAAGGACCCATTCTGCAGCTATTTCTCTAATCTCTAAATGTCTAAAGGGACAAATATACTTAGAAGTTGGCCTCCGGTTTCCTAAGCTATGAATTAAAGTATATTATGAAAAAGAGGTAAAATGACTCTTTCCTCCAGGCCAGGATAGTATATCAGAAGCAACATCAACTCCCAGGAGGAAGCACAGAAATTAGTACCAACAAAGACTTAAAAGACTTAAAAATGGTAATTCCTATAGTATACCTATTCATCTCACCTTATCTAGCCTCTGCAAAAATATCATATGGATCATGGTGGATGCCAGTAGACTATAAACTTAAAGTGATATCCACAGTGTTTCTGTTCTAGATATGACCTTCATTTGAACAATAGTCACTTCATTTGTGACTACTGTTTTGCTGAATACTTTACTCCTGATTCTCATCAACAGAGAAGATCAAAAGCAGTTCACCTGTTCATTGCAAGGATAGCAGTAAATTTTCACTGTCTTTCCTAGGTCTGTGTTAATTTTCCTGTCGTCTGTCATGGTCTGCTCTCTAGTGATCTCAATCACCTTGATATTGTACAGTGCAACCATGCCAGCCAGCCTTCTATACTGATTGACATTTTACTAATTGGACTTAATAAGGAGAACAGGTCAAGTAATTTGAATGCCCTCATAAAACACATATTATGCCAGAAGGTAGGTGGTTAAGTCCTTGATGAATAAGGAGACTGCTCCATCAGTGAAATTTCTAGGAGTTCACTGGTCTGGAAAATGAAGGGACATACCTTCTGAAGTAAAGCCTGAGAACCTGACTATGATACACCAAGTAACTGTCAGTTGGAGGTCCCCATCATGAGCTTGGTGATAACAGAAACTCCCAGAATATTGAGAGGTATATAAAAAAAATGACTTGTTGGCCTAGAACTTCATTGCACCCACTTCTATTGTGCTGGTGTCACACCTATGGCCTCAAGGGAAATTCCCAATAACCAACTGACTGAGAAGGAAAGCTCTTAAACCCAATTCTAAGACAGTTTGGTATGCTACATTGGAGTTCTATAGGAATGGATCACTGCCCCAACACAGCCCTTCTCAGGAGTGACTCTGAAAGAAAAGGTAGAGCCCCAAGGAAGCTCTCAACAGCCAGGTAGATAGGATGATCTGTTTTCTGGTTTCAGCCAGCTTCTCTCCTTGGTCAATCCACTGCAGGCACCATACACAGGGAACAAAGCGGCATGGTGGCAGATCCAGATGCCACATATGGATCCAAAAGCTGAGGCTCGAAGAATGAAGGGGTGGAACTGGGATCAGCCCATCTCACCAACTCTCTCAATGACTCACTTGCAGAATTTGTACTTTCTGTCCTTGTCATCTTATATCTGCTGTGTTAGAGACTGTGATTCTCAGGAAAGCATTGCTTCCTAGAAACAGTTTCACTGAACTTGAAGCTGAACTACTTTGAACTCCTCATGCCAGTGGACAGGAATTACTGTACTGACTGGTTGAATGGACCCTTAAATCATGAGAAGCTAGGGTTGTTGCTATGCAGTGGGGGCAAACATGAGTATATCTGGATTGTAAGGCTCACTGAGGCACCTTTTGGTGATTCTGTGCCCAGTGATAGTTCTAAATGGACACTCACACCAACTATTACCTACTGGACAAAGGAAAGTAACCAAGGGGTCACATCTACCAGAGATGAGAGACTCAAAATACTAGGCAAGCAACCTAGAGCAGCTGAAATGCTGAGAGAAATTAGAATGAGTGACAGGTGAGGGAGTTGATCAGTATCAGCTATGATCTTGGGACCAGCTGCAATCATGAAGCCTATAGTTTGCTTGCTACTTGACACTACTCCAATGGTGGATACATATAATTATACTTTTGTAAAAACCATAGAATGTACAACACCAAAAGTGAACCCTAATGTAAACTATGGACTTGGGGTTATAATGATGTAATGTAGACTATGGACTTGGGGTGTCCAATGTATAATTAGTGGAGTGTCACTAATTATAATAATGTACCCACTGTAGTGGATGATGTGGGTAGTGGAGGAAGCTGTGCCTGTAGAGGTTGTGGGGTGCAGGGGGTGGGGCGATGAGAGCATATGAAAGCACATGGGAAAGCTGTGACTCCTGCTTAATTTTGCTGTAAACCTAAAACTTCTCTAAAAAATGAAATTTATGAATTTTTAAATAGTGGGTTACTCAAGGATATCACATGTACAGCAACAAAGGTAACTTTCTAATCCTCTTTCCTTATATTTTCAACTACCACATGTAATGTTTCTAATTGTCTGGACATTTGGAACAAAACCAGTATGTTATATCTTAGCATGTCTACGAGCCAGTGGCTTCCTAAAGACAAGTCCCTATTGTTATAATCCTAGCACCCAGCTTGGTGCCTAGCCCAGGGTGGATGCTGTTTACTAAAGTCTTCAGGAAAGGCAATTATATGCAGGGGAAAGAGGGCCAAAGTAGGAGTTGGGTTACCCTTGCTTAGCATTTCCTAGTTCTCATGATCTTGGGGAAATCACATGTTCACTCAGATTCATTTTCAGACCTATGAAATTGACATGACCTCATTCCTTCACAAAACTGTTTTAAGGAGCCAATGAAATGTACTACACATAAAATTATTTTTAAGTTGCAGAATGCTTAACAAAAATCAGCTATTCTTACTCATAGTAAATGACTGAATAGATACTAAATTAAAAGGGAGAGAAAAGGATGGGCTGGACTGAAACAGAGAAATGAGAGAATTAAAGGGAAGCAAAGAGAAATCAGTCATCACCATACAAATTTCCTGGAACAAGATTCTGTGTTCTTATTCCTTCTATGCACACCGCAAACAGACATCAGACACATGCTTTCACTCAAATTTTCCCTAAGTTATTTTATTCAATTTATCAAACGTTTACTGACTGCAAACAGGTACCAGGGTTTGAGCTAGGTGAAAGGCATGAGGCATAACCCCCCAGAGACGTCTAAGTCTAGTGGAAAAGGAAGTAAATAGACTGATTCAGTGGAGTGGAATCAGAAGCCACCAAATGGAATTGGGTAATTCTTGATCGACTGGGGACAACCAGGGAAGAGGAGATGACAATCAGAGGAGGGTTTCTAGAGGAAAGGATTCTCTAGGCTACATCTTGGAAAATATAGTGGGCAAGGGAGGAAAGGGCATATTCTAAGGCAAAGGAGACAAGGCTTAGAAAGAGACAAGGGCACCAAATTGAAGATGACGTTGCATGCGAGGCTATGGAAACTCATTCTGTAAGGGATGGGGATCCACTAAGGGTGTTAAGTGGGAAAGATGGCTTGATCAGATTTACGTTAAGGAGCTTCACTTCTGTCCTCTTGGGCTACTGTCCTAGGCAACTTTCTCAGCTACCTGTCACTGCTCGGCCTTGGAATATTCCACCCAGCCTCTAAGAAAGAAGTCAAATGAGAAATGTTGGAACTCCACAGAGCTTGCTCTTCACAGAGACTGGGACTTCCTGAACTCTCTAGTTCTCAAAAGAATAAAAATTAGAAAGCTTGTTAATATCTCTTGCTTGAGATCTTACTCGCTGTGTGATTTCTTTGTGGCTGAGTCCCTGATCTATCCTTTTAACAAGTGAAACCCTGATCAGGAGTCTAATCTGAGCACAGAAAGCTTATAGTAAAATTTGAGCTTTACTGTTTCCTCTGTGTTATTAGGCAATCCCAAATAGTGATCATGAAGTCACTTTCTGTTCTCTTCCTAAATCCTATCAGTACAAGAATACTGCACATATAGGTGACAGATATACATGGATACCTGGGGGGTTGTGATAACCCATCGCTTGGTGCCAACCATTTAAGCTACTACTAGATCATTTTGAGATAGGGTTGACATCCAAATGTAAACTCCTGAAGATTTTTTTTTTAAAGAATACAGATTCTGTTGAACGGCAGCTAGGTTTGATCCTTTGCAAATGAATTTCAACATCTTTACATCATATCAATCTCTTTTAAAACAGGGAAACTTTAAAAACAAGCCAAAGTCTAAGAATGGAACTTTGCAGGTTCAAAACCCACAAGACAAAAAATGTGTCAGGCTCTCTGAGGGGATGAAAATGTGTCCCTCCCCTTTCACCATTTTACTCCTACCCCAACCACATCCCATGGCTTGTCGAAGGAGGGAAAGCCCCTCAACACTGGGGAAAAGTTTAGAGTTGGGGACTGAGAGCAGCCAGTCTGACTGCTTTCCTCTGCACTCTCCCCTCCCACAATCAGAGCTTCAGGTAGTCTGATTGCCAAGCACAGCATCTTGCCTACCTTTCCACATGCCCACAGCTACCCCTACCCATCAGGGAAGGGTTATTTTCCAACCAGCAATATCAACACCAAATGCAAAGAAACTCATTGCATTTGATTTCTCTTCAACTCACCTTATAAATAGGTCTTTAAAGCATAATGAAAACACTCAGAGACATAAATTGTTGCTCAAAACTGTCCCTTATAGAAGTTCTCTCTTTGGCTACAAAGGGATGAAAAGGAAACTCCTAGCACTCTGGGTCCCTTACTCAACAGTCATCACATGAACTTCAGTTGAAAAAGAAAAAAGAAAATCACCAAGTGTTTAAAAAAATCTGCTTTAATTGTATTTCCATGAATTCCAAGAAGACCATCATTGCAATTAATGTTACAAAAAAGCAAAGAGGGATATCTGAACATGCAATTAAAAAATGGATTCACAGTGAGAATAATGTATGTTGGTACTAAAATAGTTACTCGGTTCCCTGAAGGAAAAAGATTTCTTCTAACTATCTCTTCACTTGGATTTTATAATGTGAAAATATATTTTTTTCTTGAAAGCTTTGGGGAAAGTTTTCAGTCTGTGCAACTATTGTCACTAACATGGAAGTCCCTCATTCTGAAAGTCATTATCAGCAGTCTGTAATTTAATCAGAATATTCAAAAGTACAACAAAGAGCTTGGCAACTATGTTCTTGTTACATACAAAGCCATTAGCAAAAATATGTAACAAAATTTATGTAAAACAAACAGTTTTGTTCTTATATACAGAAGTTTGCTTCATTCCTCATGCCCTCACAGCCTACTCTAAAATGAGAGGGTATAGAGGAGCAGCTATGAATCTCCTTGAACTCTCATTACGGGTGGGGTGCAGTGGAGAAATCTTAAAAGGTAATAAAGTACCTATTTTAATCTTCTAACTGAATTATAAAAATGTATCTGGGCTTCTCAATAAAGAAGGAAATTTAGGAAAGGTGACAATGGCTTTAAAATAAAGAATCCATCCCTTCATCCTTTGCAAAGTCTCTTAATTAACTCAAGGGTTAGAGTATAAATGACTACATTTGTGACTGTGATCTGAGGACACACAGTAAAGAGCATCTTGGTGAAACACAGGGACACCATAACCCAAGCTGCTGAGAAGTTTCACATCTAGGGCATGCACACATTTCATACCAACAGAGTTTTTGCCTCAGGGGAGAAAGATCATACTATGTGGGAAATGTCATCCAAATCTATATACAAACACATAAACAGGAAGAACACACGGAGTTCAAAGGGAGACCAAAGTACAAGTTTAAAAATACATTTAAAATCATTTCAAAGCCAAGGACCATATTTACTGAAAGCTGAAAACTGACAACTCTACAGAATACCTTGTAAACATTGAAAATGTAGCTGTATATAATTCACAGTCTCAAAAGAAAATAAATTTCTGGTTTATCATCACTGCTTCCTTCAGTCTGCAAAACAGAAGTATCTGAACAAAACTGGTCGACATAGCTGGAGCGCAGGGCAGCGCACGCCCCCTCAGGGAGGCCCCGACCCTCTAGGCCCCCACCTTTGGCGCTCCTCAGATAGCCTGCGATGTATGAGCCGGTGGAGTGCCGGTTCCCCGCCAGCGGGGGTGCAGAGGGCTTGTTTCGGAGAACCACTCCTCCTACGTGGCTGGGGTTCACACTCTTTTGCTTGTTGGCTTCTTGCTTTTCCTTGGCACGACTGGCAATATTGCGCACTCTGCTCTGGCTTCTGGATGACAACTTTCTGACCAGAGCCCTGGGGAGTTGACTGGTGTCCTGCTTTGAATACAGCACTTGGCAGTCATCTTCTTGGTCAAAGGACACCAGCTTCCGCAGCTGCTCAGTCAGGGCATCTTTAGACTCTAGTGACTTCGTTTTTATAGTCTCACCCTTCTTATCTCTAATGCCAGTTGTAATAAAACTCTTACTAATACACTGGTACTTGCTTTCAAAATTGCAGGCAATGTCCTCTGATGTTAGGTCCCCCAGACTTTTGGATTTGCAAGGACTGGGCAGCTTCAGAGTAGGCAGAGGAGGATGTGTGGATGGCACAGGTACAGGGGCATGCATATCTGGAGCACTACACAGGGGTGCACAGGTCTGGTTCATTTTTGCATCTGAATTTGAGAAATTGTTATGAATAATACCAGCACCCTGAAAGACTAGACAAGAAATACTTTGATTTTTGACATCTTGAATATTATTGAATACTTCAGAGACTGAAGGGTGGAGAGTCTCTTTACAGTATCCATTTCTCAGACCTCTCTGAAAATGTTCCACCACATCCTGACTGTATTTCACTTTTAAAGGAGAAGAGAGGTGACTTATGCCCTCTCTCCTGTATTCACAGGTTGTTATAGACAGATTTTCTGAGTCTCCATCCATTTCCACGAGACTGCTCTCTCCAGAATTTAAGCAGAGGGTGGGGTCAGCGATTATACCTTCCAGTGTCAAGTCAGTGGACATGGTAGGGCTTTGATTCTTCACTATTGCCCATTCTTTTCCATTCATGAGACTTTGTGGTAACCAGCAATGAGAAGTATTGGAGAAATGAGGCTGGTTGCTTTCCATGGCCCTGGTCTTGGCCTTACCAGAAAGGTTGTCATTGGGTTTGGTTTTAGAGACAGGAGTGCAAGCAGTTGCACAAACAACTGTGTGTGATGAGCGTTTGGTGGTCTCGGGGCTCGAGAATGCAGTCAGCTTGGGAGATGAGCACAGGAGGGATGACTTGGGTTTTTCCTTGGGAAAGCCAGGCTTGAAGGGCATTTCTGGGTCCAGTGTGGGCAAGGGAGGATGGCCTGGCATCACACTGGTGCCATGAAGATGAGAAACAACTGTGAGGTCAGCCTGATCACTGGCCTCATCAAACTGGCCAATCAGTGCTGAGATGGAACTGCCTGGCTCATTCTCATTTGTTAAAGTGACATTGTCAATAAGTTGGGAAATCTGACTCTCCTGCAGAATGGCAGTAGAGTGCAAGTCAGGTATGTTGGAACAGAGTGTAGAGACATCTGACAAAGAAAAGGATGTTGAAGCTCTGCCCTTACCCCAATTGCCTTCCAGGTTCTTAATCTCCATATTGCTTTGAGAAAGGATGCTTCCTGTCAAGGTGCTTTTCCCTACCACAAAGTTCCCAGCATTTCCATTTTCCTTGGTTAGGTTAACTGCACAATCAAGAGCTGAATGCTGCCTCGGAGACAGGGATTTGTTGGGGCACTGGTGTTCCTGGCAACTTGACACATTTGGTTTGACTCTCCCCCCATTAGGACCTGGCACTCCCAGTTGTTCTCTTGTGATTGACACACTGACAAAAGAAACAGCAGAGTCCCCTTGGCTGGTATCTTTGTGGAGGAGAGCACTAGAGGAAGAGGATAACTTTTTGGTGAAATATGGAAAATGTTGGTCTTTTATACTTGCCTTCCCTTTTCTTCTGCCATCCTTTTCTTCTGCTGAATGAAACAAACAACATTTATGTAGGACATGCAAACACTCATGGTTGTCTTCAGACAGACAAATGGAAAATGTAAATCTGTTACATTGTGACAGAATATAATTATGGATTGCATAGGTTTGCAACAAAGTGTCTGTGATGAATAAATGGTAAAATATATTTATAGAAATTTCACTGAAGCTTTCCTTTGAATATCTATTACATCAGCTAAGGATGTAATATTCATTTTCAGAAAAAGAATGTCAATGAGTTACCATACTTTTACAGTGAGGATTACCTTAAGTTGTTTCCTATTCAGATTTGTACTACACAGAAGCATGGCAATAAAAATAGAACAAGACAGCTCTGTTAAACAAAATATTGTGGTATCTGTAAGCAAGACACTGTAAGCTTTCAAAGTTATACACATATTAGTAAAAACAAATCATATTATTTTTAAAAACATTTTGGCAAAAGAGGTAATTTAACAAATTTACTTCTAAAACAAACTGGAAGTTGCAATAAGTGAATTAAAATATCAGTATCAGTTGACCTGGAGATAGTAAAAACATTTGGTCACCAATTCTATGCCATTGCTAATATTTAATGTTTTGTTAGTTGTATTCTTGCTTTTAATACACAAATTTCACATTGCACTCTCCCCTAAAAGAGGCAGTAAGTTATCACGTGCTAAGGCAAACTATAAAAACACAATTCACAGTAATGGGGGCATCCCACCATGCTTAGCATAGTACTAGGACAATATAAGATATTTAATTATTCTTGATCAGACTATTTTAATAGTCTTTTAATGCTTTCAGTCATGACATAAAAGAAGAAGCATACACGTAAGTTATTATTTTTCCTAACTAAACAGTCATAAAAATTTGATAAACCATTGTGGAAAGCAATATGGAGGTTCCTCAAAAAATGAAAAATACAAATATCATTTGACCCAGGAATTCCTCTCCTAGAAATTTACCCAAAGAAAACAACTTCTCAGATTCAAAAAAGACATATGTATCCCGATGTTTACTACAGCACTATTTACATAGCAAAGATATGGAAGCAACCTAAGTGTCCATCAGTAAATGAATGGATAAAGAAGATGTGGTACATATACACAATGGAATACTATTCAGCCATAAGAAGAAAACAAATACTACCGTTTACAACACCATGGATGGAGCTAGAGGGTATTATGCTCAGTGAAATAAGACAGGCAGAGAAAGACAAGTACCAAATGATTTCCCTCATTTGTTGAGTGCAACAACGAAGCAAGACTGAAGGAACAAAACATCAGCAGACTCACAGACTCTAAGAAGGGACTAGCAGTTACCAAAGGGAAGGGTGGGTGGGGAGAGAGCGAGAAGGGGATTGAGGGGTATTATGATTGGTACACATGGTGTTGGGGAGTCACAGGGAAGACAGTGATAGCACAGAGAAGACAAGTAGTGACTCTGTGGCATCTTACTACACTGATGGACAGTGACTTCAATGGGGTATGGGGAGGACTTGATAATATGGGTGAATGTAGTAACCACAATGTTTTTCAGGTGAAACCTTCATAAGAGTGTATATCAATGATATCTTAATAAAAATTGTTTTAATTTCATAAACACAATAATTATAAAGAAATTAAAAATCCTATGATGTCACTCAGAGGTACCCACTGTATGCTTTTGTAGAGGGACAAAATTATATAGAGAATTTCATATTCCACATTTCCTTCATTCAGTTTTTTTCTAATTTATACATTGACTATATTGCATGGCTATATCTTACTCCATATTTACAAGTAAATAATAAACTTATATAGCTGTTTATTAAAGGGCAGAAAGAGACATCCCCTCAATATTGCTTTCTGGGTTAACTGTTATCAATTTCTTTTGAGTATAGCTTTATTTCCTCCCCAAAATGGAATTTTGAAATAAATTTTAAAAGCACACATTTCATCTCTGACACTGCTCTTAGCAAAATTTCCAACTTTTAAACTCCCTTTTTCTCTTTCAAATAAACAATTCAAAAATTGGTTTGTCTCCACAGAATATCTTACCATAAAAATCAATACAAGCAAATGGTGTTTGTGAGAAAAGAGACCATTGAAATTAGATCCTGTGAGAAAAGGAGAATTTTGCTTAAGTAAGCAGGTATCACATTATATTTGTCTAAGATTATTCTGATTTAATTAACACACATTAGTTGCAGAGATGCCAAATGCACACAGTTTTGGTGCTTAAATTATCAAGAATAGAGTGGGGAAAAGAATCCTCAAAATAAGTTAAGAGCTCTTTGGTACCTTGCAAAAGCAGGCATCACTCTTTATCAGGTCCTTGACATGAGTGAAACGTTATGCTCAGATTAGAAAAAAGATGGGCAAGGCCTGGTCCCTGAGCTTGGGGAGTGGGTCCCTGGACAGGAGCTGCATACATGCTTCCTTGTTGGCCAGCTTCAGGAACCAGGGCAGTGAGGCCACGGCAGAACATTACCCAAGCTACCTCTTGAGGAAACAAAGATTTCTTAAGAGGAAAAGGTGGCTTGTTTTTAACAGTTGGCTTTTTCTCTTTCTCCATGACATTTCCAACTGCAGAAATGTGTCAGTATGGTAGGGAAAGAAACACAACTATATTCAACCTAAGAAAGATCAAAATTCTAATCAACCTCAGATCAAATAAATATTGTACCCTCTTGGAAAACCAAGATCTCTTCTGTCCCTCTACTGTACCTCATCAGCCCATGGGCTCCATGCCATTACACCTGATGTTCTCCCAGCCCTCATTGTCAGTTTCAGATGACAATGTTATTTAAAGGTTTTAGGTGACTAGGAAATAGCTCTTCTACTACCCTCTTCCCTAAGTTTAAAATCTGGTCTAAAAAATAGCATTAAAAACTATTTATTTTGCAGTATATTTTATTTTGATTGTAAAATATCAAGCATGTCATAATGGTAATCTGGGATCAAAATGCGGCTTAAAATGATTTATTCTTAGAGAAACTTAACAGCGTCTTACCTAGAGAGTTTTCTTTTCCATCAGTGTCTTTGGCAATTTCAGAAACAGGCAGTGACAGAGCCCCCAGAAGACTTCTGTCCACAGGCATAGAGACAGGGCGCGCTTGCAAGCTCCGTGTGGTCCTCCGCAGGATGCCATCTGGATCTCTTGCAGCCTCAGACACAGAATCCTTTATCTCTACCATATCCTGGAAGCCCATTTTGCTCTTTTTTCTGCCTTTGGCCGGAGCACTGGCTGTGCGTCGCAGAATTCTATCTCCAATGGATCGTTTCCGAACATAATGGGAATTGTTTTCTGAAGAACCACACCTGGGATTCTTGTTGAATAATCCCTTCAGACCTTGGAGCTGTCTGTTCTGAAGACACAAAAAGACCACTACAAGTTAAGCCAATGCTGCTGTGTCAACAAGTGGCCTTTTAAATGATAGCTCCATGAAAAATGGATGCAAAATGCAATTTTTTACAGCCATTCAAATGCATATTCAAACCAGGAAAACAAGCTCACAGCATGTTTGCACAATGTCATGCATGCCTCATCCACCTTACTTTGTGAGGAAGGCAGCCTTCCATTGTCACAACCAAGCTTTCCCAGAAGTTTCCTACCCAAAGACCACAAGCTAGTAGGAAAAGTTTACACAGTTAACAGACCATTACAGACTTTAGCCACCTAAAGCAACAGAGGTATGTTTCAAAGTGGTAAGAAGGGAAAATGGAGTGAGATGAGAGCATGCTGCCATAAGCATTTTAAAAAGAAATACGTCAGCAAGAACAAAGCACCATGCTGAGAAACTACCTTTGTAGCTCCTAGAAAGTGCAATATAGTATAACTGGGGTTGAGTATTAAAGGGCTCCACTGCAAGGGAAAAACAAAAGCACAGTGTGGGCTCATTCAAGAGGGTGGCACAAGTGAAAACAGAATAAAAATGCATCTGCTTCAATAAACCCTTTCTTCCACTTTTGGTGATTTTTAGTCACAGGTTCATCCATTGCTCAACTCGCCACAGCTCACTGTGGCTTATGCATCTCAGCCCAAACACACCTTAGAAGTAATCAATAATATATGACTTATAAGTGGATATTTGTTTAAGAGAGAGAAAAGAAAGCCTATGGAACACTTTCTTCTTCATATTTTAATTTATTTCTGGCTCAAGTTTTCAACAAATCTGAATTTTGTTTCCCACCAGCATGATAAATGCTAGAGATAGTAGTTAATTAAACTGGGATTCCTAGAAATTCAAGGATCATTTTTTTATCATTTACATTTGTGTGCATTTAGGCCAGAGGGAAGATCTTAGCAAGTAGCATGAACAGAAACCTAGGTGTAAACACAAAGCCACAGACTAAAACATCTCTCAGAAACTAGAACCCTTAGTGCACCCCCAGCCAACTGATACGAGAATTAACATGTATCTCCTAATTCAGGCTGAATCAGTCCACTCTCTAGCCAATTGGCTTGTAGTCATAATACTATTAAAATTTGCCAATATTTTTGCACATTTTAATACATGCCAGGCAGTTGTTTAGGGATAACATTTATTAATTTATGAAATAGGTATTATTTTTACCCCACATTGACAGATAAGGAAACTGAGGCAATGTCCTCTTTCTGTAGGAGAAGCTTCAAACTATGTAGACTTTTTAATAAAGAGCATTGGACATTCCTGGGCCTTATTCAATGTTCTTACAGTCCCTCCAAATTACATCTGGCCTTGAAAATTCATTCTACTGTCTGAGTCTCCATTACTTGGCATGACCGAAGGGCAACATATTGATTTGTACACCTCAAGGAAGTTCTGCAAAGAAGAGAGCAGCATCAAGACAGATCTAGAATACATTTTTGTGGTCACTGTCTTTTAAGTCTTGTGAGAGGCTTTATAGTCCTACATGAGTTTGAGTTCTTCAGTTAAATACAATGGCACCAAATGAATGCATCCTGCTTAGAAATGGATCACATAAGCATCCTGATTAGTACATAACCATCAGACAATTCACCAAACATCTGAGATACATTTCCCACTGCAACCAGCTGAGTCTTAAGGATTTAAAATAAAATTCAATGTTTAGTTCTATCTACATTGTTTTAGCCAAATGAATGATTATCTAAGAGAACAGTAGTTCGCTCTTACACCCAGAAAAGCCTTAGATGGAGGAAACGAGTGCATATCCCTACACAGTGGGAGGAGCACACGTGGAGGAGGACCCGACAGCAGGACAGCACAGCAGGCTTGCTGGGCATCCCTAGTTTTCTGCTGAAGAGCAGCTTGTCAAGATGTACATTCCTTTTATGCAATTAGTCAAAAAATAAATTTGTTAAGGACCATACTATTGCTGTATGGGGCTTTAAGCCCTCTAATCTTTCTCACCTTTCCATAGATTTCATTGATTGTTATGTGGACAAATATGGATGCTTCTGTCAGTCCTTCCAAATAGACATGCCGGTAGCCTGATAAAAGTAGAGAAAGTAGTTTCTTTTTAGTCAAACTTGCATTCAGTTTTCCCATGGGTGCAACTGAATTAAGTACCTGACTTTATTATAATTCTTTAAATTTCACAAAGCACATTAACACTCATATAACACATATCTTATATATCATATGCCATACGTTGTATATATTCTGTATCATGTTTTAAATCTTCCAAAGAAAACAGAATGGTCAGTTTAGAGAGAAAAGGCCAACCCATACCTACCAGGCACTAAGCTGCTGAAGGTCACAGTTCTTTGCCCAACAAAATCTCGTCCAATAGGATCATGGTCCCACACAAGGAACCGAACTAAAGCTATTTCTGGCATGTGCACTGTAAATGTCAGGGTTTCTTCCCACACAGGGTTAAATCCTCAGAGAAACAGAAAAAGAAAAATCAGAAAAGCAAAGGGCTTGGCAAAAAGAACTGGGCACAACATCTGCAAAGCAGATGGTGAAAATCGCTTGCAACGGTTATTAAACTCATGAAGACTACTGAGCCACTCCAGGATGCCTTGCTGAACTAAAGCTTCAGAATTTACCCCACTGCTAGAAAATAATTGGCAAGAAAATTGCCTGTAAATGATTATATCAATTCTAATAATCTTGGATGCCAAACTGCCCTTTAGAGAACACTCTTTTAGACAATATTCAGAATGCTTCAATAAATTCAGAAAGTATCTCTAGTAATGATCGAAGAACAATATTTTAGCAAAGACAAAGCATGACCCACCCCAACAGAATCATGAATCTCACCCACAAAAGAACCTGCTGCTGTAATAGTCACCAAGAAGCATTTTAGAAGGTGCTTGCAGGTTGGAAGGCTACCGCACATATATCATCCTATTTAGTTTTTGCAGCAATTCTAAGAGTGGCAGGGCAGGGTTTTGCTTTTTTCTAATTAAAAAGTATATATATATATTACTGGCTTTCAAAAACATATAACTTTTAAAACTTACACAAAAAATACATGCTCTTCTTTAAAGTAGGAAAGATAAGTATTTATAACTCATTTTATAGTTCAGAAAATTGATGTTTAGATAAAATAATGTGGCTGAGGTCACACAATTCGTTACAGACCTAATTAGACTGTGCACTATTGATTTCCAGTGGCTTCTCATGAAGCAAGACCTTAATATGTGAAAGATGATATATTTTTCATAGCTACAGAAAATAGAAAGGTATATAATTCGACTCAAATTCTAAAACATAAAAATACATTTATGTTTCTTGCTCAAATTATCTGAGATAAAATAACTTTATAAACTAATAGAAGTTCAAGCACCCTATAAGTTAGTTTTGCCTTTCTAAAAATAGAAAGGAAATAAAATGCACACATTTGATTAAATATATGCATTCAAGAAGCATCACCCATCTCACTCTATTAAATGCCTCAGCTAATGAAATAATTACAGACTGAAAATCGTTGAGATGCCCCTCCTGAACGAGAGGAAAGATGATCTTTTTGCTCACTTAGTGATGTCCTCTCAGTTCCTTCCGAGACTAACAAAACTATTGAGCATTGGTAGGGAAATGCAATATAGGAGATTTGCTTTCCTTAAGCATGTCATTTCCTAAATAAACTGGTTTACACTCCTCTTGAACCCCCAAATCTCTTTCTTTAAACTAGCACTTAGAAAAACTCCTCTTAAGGTCCATGAACCTCTAATTTCTCAAATGTTCTAAGGATGGTGATTTAAATTTGTTTTAGAGTATTAATAGCTAGAAATTGAGAATAACCAAGTATGCAATAATGTTTGTCAAATGTATAAACAAACACAATTTTAGGAGACTACAGAGAAAAGGACATGAGGCTTGGGTAGAGAAGGCTTTTTTACATTGTGGCCAAAATGTAAGGATGCTGTCCATCTAGCATATATACATATTCCAGAACTAAACCTGCCTGAGCAGGCTGTGCTTGCCTTTATAACTTTACATGCTCCAGAAAACAATGAGAAATCTTCAAGCCATGTAGGCTTCATGAATGAGGGATTTGAAGCATCTCATGTCATGAAAAGACACTATAAAAATATAATGGAGGCATTTTCCCAAATGAAGTTTTAACCTAGTCCTTTAAAATGTCACTCATTCTTTTTATTAGAAAAAAATTTGCTTCAAAAGCAAAAGTCATGAGAGCCTAGATTACAATATCTATCAAAACATACCATGCATGGAATCCCACTATTACCTAGTTTTTTGGGTTGAGAACATCTTAACATAAACTCAGATGACAGTTATGGGTTTTAGAGATTTGTTTCTCTTCCATGTAGACAAATTTTTCCTTTTCACTGCAGATTTTATTTCTAGATCATTCTCAGTAAAAGTAAGCAGATTATCATCTTACCATTGTCATCTACTACACGGGTTTGATCTTTACAACAATCCACTGGTAATCCAATAATTTCAACTTCAACAAAAGGATCAATAATCTATGTAAATAAAGAGTATTATTACAACTAATAGATTTCTACACATATGTTAATTAATTTGAGAACATTGTTCATAATGTCCATATTTCAACAGCAACCTATTTCATGTGGTACTTAGTGGTAAAGAGTAACTGTAGCGGGTACAACAGATTCAGATACATGAAACAGAAATAAAAGATCAAATTTTTGTTTGCCAATATTCATTAATACCACATAAACTTTATTCAAGGAACATATAACTCCAGTTCAAGATATATATTCAACACAAATGAGAGGTTTTGTCTATGCTCAGAGCAGCTATATTCATAAGAGTCACACACTAGGAACAATCTAAGTGTCTATGATGAGTAGGATGGATGAATTGTGGAATATTTATTTAATGAATACTACACAGCAATGAAAAAAGAACAAAGTTCTGTTACATAGATATAATGTTCAATTATAACATATTAATTTAAACATAAAGGGGAATATATCATAAACCCATTGGGTGGGTTGGGATTAGATATTTACTGTGAAAAGACAGAAAAATGACTCTAATTCTACACACTGTATATTAATACAAAGGTAAAGAGATCTATACAATGAAAAAATATGCAAGAAATCCCCTTCTCCGAGTAGCATTATCAATCACAGGACAAACTAAAATCGTGTGGCTCCTGATAAAATGCACTGAACACTGTCCATGTAGTATTCCTACCAGATATATTTATTTTGATTCTAATGATGACAAAATAGGTAAATTCAAACTGAAGGACATTCTGGAAACAACTGGCTTGGACAAATTTTTAAATGTCATTATGATGAAAACAAAACAAAAAAGTTGGAGAACTGTTTTGGAATTTAAAAGACAAAAGAGAAATGACAACTCATAGCAATATGTGACCCATGATTAGATTCTGAATCCAAAAAAAAGAAGATACAAGGACAGTTTGGGGAAAACTGGGGAAAGTTGAATATAGAGTTTATATTAGTAATTTTATTACACCAATATTACATATCACGAGTGTAATGACTGGTTATGCAGAATGTCCTTGTTTTTAAGAGATAAACGCTAAAATATTTAGGGGTCAAAGGTCATGATGTCAACAACTTACTCTCAAATGACTGAAAAGAAAAGCAAATGTGTGTGTGTATAATTAATTTTTAAAACGTGTTATATTTTTCTCTCTCTCATGGGTATATGCACATCTATGTATGTGCACATATATATGTAGGTGTACAGCTATGTATACACACCTACATATACAAGAGGAGAGAAAGCAAATGTTAAGAAAATTTAATAATTTTAACTGGTGAATCTAGGCACTGGAGATATGGTGCTCATTTTACTATTCTTGCAATTTTTCTGAGGTTTAAAACTTTTTTAATAAGAAGTATGGGAGAAAAAAGATGAAGTGAGTCTTCCTTTTTGCAGAAAATATAGAGAAAAGGGAGAAGTAAAGGTAAACTTTTCAATACTGCCAAGACAATTATTCCTGCTGTAAGAGAGAATGGAAGCAGAGAGACCAGTGAACTGGGAGCCCACTGCAGCAAGCCTGATAAGAGGTGGTGGCAGCTCACGTTAGCTGGGGACAATAGAGACGTAAGAAATGGTCCCATCAGAAGCTCTTATTTTCTTCTGAGCAGTAGGACATGGTGCCATTCTTTGAAGATGAAAAAGAAAGAGATGAGGTAAGTGTGTGAGAAGAGGGTAGGAAGTAGCCACTGTGGAGAAGGGGCCAAGGGCTAATACTGTAGAGCCAGATGGCAGTGCAGCACAAGGGCCAGTTGAAATTTGAAGCAAGGACTTTATGGTAGAACCAGACTGTGGAGCCACACGTTCCCCCATAAACACTCAAGATACAGAAACGCTGGTTTAACAGGTGGGAGTGGCAAGGAAATGCAATGATGGACCCCTCCTGAGAGGAAGGACACAAGCATAGGAGGGGCTGACGGGTAGGGAGAAAACAGGCCAAGCCAGGTGTTATGGGAATAATGGGATAAAAGTTCTGGAAAAAGGAGGCTGCAGCTACAGAAGCAGACAGTTTAAAATCCTGCCTAGATGCTTCAAGTGATGACAAGGGTCAGCATGTGGCCAGGGAGGCAGGTGGCTGCTGTGCAGAGATGAGGGTTGGAGGGGTTGAGGACTGTAGATGGCAGATTAAGATGCTCAGCTTGCAGTGTTTCAGGTAATAATACAATTGTCCTATGCACCTCAATTTTAGCATCACCAGCATCAGTCTTGAATTGTAAATTGGAACGCATGCATGCATGCCTCCAAAACAGATGGTACACTGCACTACAGAAAGCTTTGTGGTACTTTGCCAGTCAGTCAGTTAATATTTGAGGAGCTGAGGTCAGTGCTCAGTAACACACACACACACACACACAGTGCTCAGTAACACACACACACGCCCCACCCCCAAGACATTTCAGATGAAATGTAAACACAACAAAATAACCACATAAAGAATCACTTGGCCATACAAAGCTTACCTCGCCTCGGTCTCCAAACATGGAGTCTGGAGGTTTGGGGAGCTGCTGTCCACTGATCACTTTCAGGATGAGCTGCTTTTTGGGGTTGGCAGGAAGTGGATCACCAGAGAAAGGGTTGAAAGTACCTAAGCCAAGTAAAGTGGAGGTCAAACTCTAAGGTAGCAACACAAAACTGTAAAACGCAAATACTACAAATGCTGAATTACTAATGTTTCTTAGAGCAAAGAAATTATCACACAACTACTACTGTGGTTTGCTTAAGGGCAAAGCCAGCTGGCATTTCCACACCATGGTTTTTGTTATAACCCATTCCTCCAAAGGTCAGAGGAATGCACCAATTTCATTCAAGTGTCTGCGTGATTATGAGAGGCAAGGGGAAAGAGGAATAATTTATTTGAATAATATAGAGAATAGCCAATAGTATTGAGAAGGGGAGCAGTTACATCAGATTCAAATAATTTTCTAACCTAAACTATTTCAAGTATAGATGGCAAAGCAAAAAACATATATTTACAAAGCATACAACCCAGAAGGCATATCTGTCAACAATTTTTTGCCTGAGTTGTTAAAAATCCCATTTGGAGAATTTTAATGAGCAGAACCAAAAAAATGTGTTTTTTTGATCTAGCATTACATTATCTTTTCTTTCTTATTAGCACTGTTTTGTAATTGAACTACACTGACTAAAAAGGCTTGATAAAATTATTTCAGGTAGTTATTTTAATTTTGCCAGCAGGCTTCAGACTCACACACCCTAAGAGAGCTTTGCTTTTGTTTCTGTTTTTTCTAAGGATAGCTATAAAAACTTTTTCTTCTTAGTTTGATCTCTAGTTCAGGACTTTTTAAATAAGAGTCTCTGAAAGATACGACTCAGGCCTTAGGAGGCAGTACAATTTTGTAACTAATGCCCAGTGAATATCATGCCCTGGCACTGGATTTCAGATAACATCCCATTGCTATCCTGTCCATCTTTATATGCATGACCTAATGAAAGAATTTTAAACATCGTGCTAAACAGTTGTGTGAAAGAGTCCTAATTTATATTCCAACACCTTAACCTATCTCTTTGGTAAAAAATCAGGTTGCAAAATACTGGAACATCATACTTTACAGAGAGTTCCTTCAATAGAGGGCCCCTGCACTCAGTCAGACAAATGAGTGCAAAATTGACACACACCTTTGCACATTTGCTGGGGTTTGAGGACATAGCCACAGTTGCCATTTGTCTTGAATTTGGCTCGATTTAACTGCATGATTCGTCCTTCAGACTGGTAGTTCAGCGCCACTGTGCAAGTTCAAAGTTTGAGAGAATTAGGCAAGACAGCAGCACCGAGTAGAGACAGAGAACTGTTCCTTCGGGAGGCGTACACACCTAGCTGGCAACCAGCGTTCCAGTAGGGCAGGGGATTGAAGTTACTGGAGTCAATGCGGTAGGCGGAGGGGTAAATCCTCGTGAGCTGCTTTTGGTTATAAATCATGAACTGCTCTGATTTCTGCTGAACCACCTGATGTGCTCTTGTTTCACTGAATGATAACACATTTCCTGTGGTTCCTGCCAGGTTTTAATAAAGAAAAAAGAAAAGTGAGAACTACAGCCAAAGAAACACTAGTCACAAAAGACCTCATAATATGTCAGAGCATACCCATAGTAAAAGGCAGAGCAAAAGACTGAATTTGAACAGAATAGAGGTAGCTCTTCACTAAGAAAGACCGTAAAATCCCATCTTGTGACTCTTGCCATTTTCAGGCCCAATCAGAGTTGTGCATCCTGCTGGGATAACTGCTTATTTTGGGGTCCATGTTCTCTCAAGTGTTCAATCATCTCTCTCATTCATGTCTATCTGGCTAGTATGAAGAAGGCAGGCAGGAAAATTATTTTTTAGGTGCATGATTCTAACAGAACAGCTTTGCCAGATATAGACAGTTATGGATAAATAAAATTATCTATGTAACTTATTCCTGATAATAGGAAGACATTCACTGAAGGCATTTATCTAAAAAGCACACATGTGAAACACATCATAACAGACAGCATTTAGGGTCCAAGAAAATAACGGTAAAAATAAAAGCAATCCCAAAAGTCAAATATTGAGGTTTAACATTAATTTGAATAGAATTATGGAAGCAATCAAAATTTATTTGGGAGAAGGAATAATGATAGAAAAAGAGCTCAAAATAGCACAAAAATAAAGTTTCAAAACAAGAACAATCATCCACCAAGCCAGGCTTATAAACAATGGAAAAAACAAAGGGAGGGAAAGTAACAGGAAACCTATATTCAAGTTTCTGCCTGGACCATCATTGGGCGGGGTCAATCCAGGGCCAAGGAAGCGGAAAGTTTGCAGGTCATGATGGAATATACCTCCAAATATTTAATATTCTACCTTTTCTTCCAACCCCATCTTTTGTTCCACGTCTACAATGCCTCCCTCCTCCAACCCCTTCACCAAACTCAACAGTCCACCCCAAAAATGACCACCGGTATGTCCTCTGGACCAGTCCGAAGAAGCCAGGCTTTTGGCCTACAGACCCAAACTTTCCCAGAGCCCCATCCCATTCCAGTGCATACTCTGACACACTGAGAGTGTCTAACACAGACTGAGGGACACGGCCCATGAAACTGGGGAGTTGAACTAGAATCTTGCTGGGCCAGCTGGGCCTGAATTGTACCCAGACTACATGTTTATTAGTGAAAATAGTCTCCCATGGCCCCTGCTATCCTCAGGGATATATCCCCTCAGACAGTAAATGCTGGCCAAATAACTTAACAACTACTACACTTCAGAGTTGGACCTTGGAACAGCCAGAAATACAAGTGGGAGGCAAAGAAATTAGAGAAGGAGGTTTTAATCTGATTTCCCTCATATAGATTCTTTCCTTATCATGCATATTTTATTGACATAAGTTATTAACATAGTTTATATATTTTATACTAAAAACGATCTTTTTTTTCATGTTTTTAATGAGTACTTTGAACATGAAGTGGAAAATACAGTCTTTTTGACAAGGCCACATTCAGATGTAGTAGCACTATAATCACTCCCACTATTTTACTTTGTCTCTCCACTTAAATATGCACACTGTGTTACAATTAAGATAACCTTGCTAATCAGGCACATATCAATTAGTCTATTAATAGAGTTGAGTTTCTCTGTATTAGGATAAACCATGCATTCATTATCTATTGCTCATTTTGTTGCTATATACGTACACGTGCACACACACACACACAGACCAAAACAACTGAAATTCAAGAGCTAAATAGTACTCAATATTATTTTCCATTAAGCTAAAAGGATTATGATCTCCAAAGGCATTTATTAGAAATTTTATTTCTCCAAATCAAATATACCTTTAAGTCCATAAACCACCTCGAATTTATTTTCTAGCTATTGGCAGTAATAAGAATATATTGTTCACTTGCTGTGAACCCTACAGTTTCTATGTTCTTACATGTGAAATTAATTTAGATTTTTTATAATTGTCACCATTTGAAGAAAGAACAAAACACCAAAGGTAAGAAAATTTGCAGACAGAAAAAGATACACTTGCAGAATGGGGAGAATAAAGAGATCTGAGGGAAGAAGGTGGAGGTTTCTTGAAGACATAAGATTCACCACAATGTTGTTTTCCCTTTACTAAGATTTGTTGAGAAAATGGGATATTCTGATTCACATTTTATTTCCACTAAAATTAAAATTAGATTGAAAAGACACATGAGCAGTTTATTTCTATAAGCATTCATTAACTGAAGAAAACTGAAATGAAAAGAGAAGAGCATAAGGGGGAAAAGAGCAACTAGCAGAAAAGCCCAGGGTAAGAACTGTGACTAGAATTTCTCAATATGGCAACTGACAGGTGAAAAATAGTAATAGTCAGCACTTCTGAAATTTCTGCCTTTTTTGTTAAAACTTGACATTCTGTGGATTCAGTTACTTTCATAAAAATCAAAATTTCCAATGAAAAAATGTGGCCTTTTCAAGGTGTTACTTTAGCCAATTAAAATGTCTTCTTCTGGTCATTCACACTGGGAATGGCCCTCTGTGACCTGGCTATCAAACCAGGTCAGTCTCTAAGGCTCAAGCTTTGGGGAAGAACTTGCTGTGATGTATTTGTCTTTGTATAAAAATAAAGTCCTCTCCTGCCCTGTAGGAAGCTCCTCTGACCTCTAGCCAATCAGGCAATCACAGTAATCAACACAGCCCTCCCTGGGAGCTAAGCTTTGTGCTGACAGGCAGTTCCCTGACACTCAAGTAGTATTCCACACTGTTCTAGAAATGGGTGCTGGCTAACAAAGATTAAATAACAATTGACAAACGAAGGTCAAGGATTTATCCAGAAGAAAAAGCTCAGTCCTTACCATCATCCACAATGTCCTGGGCTGCCACGGAGTTTGTATACACAACCAAATCAGAGAGCTCTCGGCAGAGCTTCATGGTTTTCCTTCGGCGACCCAGCCTGTGAAATACACACCCGGGACTCATGAACTTTAGAGCTGGAAGAGGTTTGGGCTTTTGGTTATTCCACCTGCTGTACCTGCTCCTCATGGGGCCAAGGTTAGAACCCAAGAGTGAGTCCTAGTTCAGCATTCCTTCACTCCAACACCCTACTCATGTGGTTTGCTTCACTGCTCAGCCACGAACCAGTCTCTCCTCCGGTATTTGTGGGTTCTGCTGTGAAGGATTTGATTCCCACTGCTACCCAGAGAGGGAGTAAACACCAGCATTCACCAGGGATCTACTCTTGGCAGGAGGAGACCCTAGACTAAAGGAATAGCAGCACTGCATTGTGGGGCACAAGAATTTATATGTCTACCAGGAAATATACCAACATTTCCACAGTGATTATATTTTTGAGGTATAATTACAAGTGATTTTTATTTTCTTCTTCATGCTTTTTCTGTATTCCTCAACTTTCTTAAATATCCACAACTTTATTCTCATTTATAAACCACTGCTAGGATCTCCTCTACAACTTTACAAATTCTATCACCATACTTCACCACAGTAAAGGGCTCCATGGACTATGACATTCTCTTCACATAAACAATTTTCTCCTCTAGGAGAAATCTATCAAAAACTCTACTCCTTGCCAAAGAAGATACACAAATGGCCAATAAGAATATGAAAAAACAGTCAACATTATTAGTCATTGGGGAAATCAAATCAAAACTTCGATGAGATTCCACTCCCCACCTAGGATGGTTATAACCAGAAAGGCAGGCAACAACTATAAATTGGCAAAGATGAAGAGAAATTGGAATTCACATACATTGCTGAGGGAATATAAAATGGTACAACTGCTTTGCAAAAATAAAATAGTGTGGCAGTTCCTCAAAAAGTTAATCAGCGTTACTGCATTACTTAGCAATTACACTTTTAAGGACATACTCAAGAGAAAGAAAAATATATATCCACATAAAAACTTACACATGAATGTTCAGAACAGCATTAATCATAATAACCAAAAAGTGAAAACTATAAATGTCCTTCAGCTAATGAATGGATACATAAAACATAGTATACTTCATATAATGAAATATTATTCAACAATAAAAAGGAATGAAATGCTGGTACATGCTACAACATGGATGAGTCTTGAAAATACTACACTAAGTGAAAAGAGTCAGACACAAAAGACCAAATACTGTATGAGTACATACATTTATATCCAAGACCCAGAAAAGGCAAATCTACAGACACAGGGAAGTGGATTGGCTGATGCCACAGCCTGGAAGAGAGAGAGATGGGAGTGGCTGAAAGCGGAGTTTCTCTTTGGTGTGATGAGACTGTTCCAGACATCTTATCATACCATATAATCAAATTTTCATCTTTTTTTGCTTCATGTTTTACATGTTGAACTCTTCAGAATGATCACCTTTTAATGGCTGCATAATTGTCCATTACATGAAAAAAGTCATCGTTTAAGCAATCTTTATAAGTGAACACTATGGTTGTTTTTGTTTTTTTTAATATAATGACTTCTTTGTTCAACCTTTTAATACATTATCTTATTGATGAGATACTCAATGAGTATTTATTGAGAACGTACTGGTAATAAAACAGTGAAAAAATCAGACAAAAATCCTTACCCTAATGGTACTTATATATATTCAGTAAAATAACTAAGGCTGGATGAACCAAAATTTTGCCAAGAAAGGAGACATTGGCATAGACTGGAATAAAAAAATCAATAGGAAGGAAGAGTGTATGTTCCTCCTTTACCATATAATAAGGAAATTCTACAGCTATTGGTGGAAATCTGATGTTGAGAAGGCTAAGGATTATAAATCAATGTGAGGAGGTCTTGCCTAGAAATTACAAATAAAACTCCAAGACCTCCAAGATATATGGAAATTCTGCATAAAGTTTGCTTTTTAAAAATCTTATCCTGGAAGTGAATTAGTTTATTCAAGTCTCAAAAGGACACCATCAGAGATGCTTACGTCTTGATAGCTAGTATGTAAAAATCTGTAATTCACCCAAGAAGAGCAGCATGCAACATGATTTCATGTGATACCTGTAATGATGTCTTATTTGCTTATGTTAATATTATTGTAGCTTTCCAGGTAGAGAAAGACAAATACTGTATGATTTCACTTACTTGTGGAACATAAAAACAAAACAAAACAAAATGAACAAAACACCAGTAGATTCAAACAGATACTGAGAAGTGACTGGCAGTTCCGTGTGGGAGGTGTAGGAGTCGGTGAGTGGGGAGGGGGATAAAGGGGCACAAAAATTCTCAATCATTATATAAATTGGTCACAGGGATAGAAAGACAACATGGAGAATATAGCCAATGATTCTGTAATATCTTCCTGTGTTGACAGATAGCAACTGCACTAGTTGGGGTGAGGATTTAATAATATGAGTATAAGACTATATATCAACAATACTTCAATATAAAAAGAGAAGATTATCATGGCTTTCTTAGAACACTGCCCTTTCCCTATCTCTGTGATTCAGAGTTGAGCCTTTCTCAAACTTGTATATGAGAGCATTTAGAGCAGAAATCTCCTGAAGATAGTCCTACTTCTACTATATTCTTGACCATACTACTGAATTTTCTGTTCCCTAAGTGTAGGGACACACACATCCCCTCTGTCCTTAGTTACTATCCTATGTATGAACATTCTGTTCAAGTGAAGCTCAAATATATGATTTAACTAAACATTAAATATCATCCATTTCTATAGGACCTCTATGCCTCAAACTTCATTTAATTTCAGTCTTTCAATAAAGGCACAGGGGTGTATGTGGTCACACACATGCATGTATTTATATGTCAGTCTATGAGATAACTTATGTCCTATCACTGTTAGACTTGCTATATATATATATATATATATATATATATAAACTTTCAGAAAATCCTATATCAAATCATGCGTCACAATTTGGTTTCTGAAAATATGGTCATTTTACTCATTCCAAATTCTACTGGTAGTAATAAAGAAAAACAGCAGCAAATATTTTTGAGCACTTAGCTAATTGTGGTAAGGCTTATCAGGCTAAGTAGGTTAATTCCTTTAATCCATACAATGTCCTAGGAAATAGTTACAAATAAGGAGCCTATCTTGCCCCAAGTTAAACTTGGAGGAACAAGAGTTTGAAGTCTGGCTGATTTCAGATCCCTGGTTCTTAACACATGCTTACTATCCATCTTCTCCTTTCCCCTCCAATGAGAGCCCTCTCTATAGTTCATGTGGCCTCTCTCTCTTCTCTGAAGACAGCTTGTACCTGAAAACTGCTCCGACGAGCACTTATTAAGAGCTCACTCTGCACCAGGCACAGTGTAAGCACCCTATGTGCATTATCATCTCACAGCCAGTTGATTTTCACCTGTCCCACCATACTGAGCACTTTACATGTGATCCAGAGTTCTCGACCTATACAACTGAAGCTCCCAAACTGATGGGGATGGAGAGGCCCAGACGTCCGGGCAAGAACTGTGGGATGCTTTCCTACCTGTACAGCTGGCCAGTCTCCTTGCCTGGATTCTGCTGTGCGTCCTCCTCATCATCAGTACTATAAGACTTACACCGTGATTTTGTGGTTTTCTGCTGGAAAAATCACAGTAAACAAATTCACTGCATCAGGTGTATCTACAACATATAGAGAATTGACTGGGCCTTATAATACCCACACACATGGGCAATAACTTGCAGGAAAAAGAAATTGACCAAATATTTTTAGCTTGCCTCACCATAAAAAGCATGCCTATAGCCATAATTATATTAAAATAATGAGGCATAAGTGAGGGTTTTATGCCCTAACCTTGATTTATAGCTCACACACAA